CCCCACTGTGACACGAGTCCCCATGAGTCTGTGTGTATTCAGGTGTGTATTTAAGTCCCCACCAGGATATATATACCTGTACACACATACACACATACACACACACACACTTTTCTTATTCCTATTATCCACATAGTGACTCTGACTGGAAAAAAAGGCAGAATGGCAATCTTAATACGAGCTGCTTCTGAAACCTGGGCCGTTTCTTGAATTCACAGCACCCTGGATGAAATTATAAGGACGGGCCGTAGCCGCCACATACCCAGCAGCGTAAAGACACATTTAGCCCTGTTGGAAGCTGCAGAGTGGCTTTATCTGGGTATTGGCATCCATACAGTAATGAAACAACCATACTAACAAAAAGACAGTGTACGTTACAGATGGAAAGGATTTTTGTCCCTAAAGCAGCCGACGAGCACATGGTGCTCTAAATAAAGAAACTCTACTCATCACCAGTGCGCTTTACAGAATAAATTAATATCTTTTAAAGTAACCAAGTAATTTGGATCACAAAGTACCCAGCAGCGTAAAGACACATTTAGCCCTGTTGGAAGCTGCAGAGTGGCTTATCTGGGTATTGGCATCCATACAGTAATGAAACAACCATACTAACAAAAAGACAGTGTACGTTACAGATGGAAAGGAGTTTTGTCCCTAAAGCAGCCGACGAGCACATGGTGCTCTAAATAAAGAAACCCTCTACTCATCACCAGTGCGTTTTACAGAATAAATTAATATCTTTTAAAGTAACCAAGTAATTTGGATCACAAAGATGTTGAGAATTCAACACCTTTCACGTCACTACAGCACACCTCCTGCAATGGGCCTGAGGTCAAACGCGAGTCTTATTTCTGCGGCGTTATGGTGTCCAGACCGGGCCAGGCCGGAACATAGTGCCGTGGTAGAGTTCCCTCCATAAGCCTCTCCATCCACAGACCCAGTCGGTCCAGTTTGTGGTGGATCTCCAGAGTGGTGGCCTTCTGTCGGGAACTTGACCGGGACCTCGAGGCTTTGCTTGGACCGGCCGTCGCCGCATCCTCGTCGGACCACCTACTACATTCAGTTTCCTCCCCTGTGAAGACGGGTCTGAATAAGCAGAAATACTTCTTGTGGCCGTTGAGTGCCAGGACGTGGCCAGTGTAGTCTGATTTGTTGGAGGTGGAGTCCTCCTCTTCTTCCTCTTTGTCCAAGCAGTCTGACGGCCTGGCGTCGGGAGCCGACTCCATGAGGGAATCCATCCATTGGCTGTGCTTGTCCACATTTAAAAAGGAGTAGTGAAGAGTCTGAGACCTGCGGGAGGAAGTAAGGATGGTTTCCTTTGGATTTGTTTGTTGCAAGATATAAGTTGAAAGCAAAGGGTGTTCAATACAGCTTCTGGAGATCTACTTTCTTTCAGTGTTTAATTCCAAGTAATGTAATGCTACTTGGAAATAGGAACAAATGGACATTCGACTTCATATATAATTGACGTTCCAGTGTTTTTTTTCCCCATGTGGAGGTGAGAGAATTCCAGTTTGAGTTGTCTGGAAAGCATCATGACTGGAAATCAGAATTCTGCAACTTCTAACTTGTAAATGACCTCTTGAATGCTACTCAAGTTCAGACATCTGACCCCTAAAGTGAGAAGCGTCATTTAACATTCTTTTCAAATAATGTTCCATTGGTTGTTCCAAGTGGAAGTGGAAGAATTCTGGGTTGAGTTGGTCGGAATGCAGCATGACTAGAACCTATTTATGTTGGAAGTGGGAAGTTTCAATTGAAAAAAAAATGTAGATTTTGTCTGGAATGCATAAATACATAACTAGGGTTTATGGTTGAGGTCTGCAATCAATATTGTGAAATCTGTTTTGAACAGTTTTGAATTGCTGAGTGCAGGAGGGAAGATATCGATGTGTGCCAAAAAAGAACTGACTAGCTGGATTCCTGCAAAATATAAGTATCTAAAAATAAAATATGAAGTTACTCAAATTTATTTTAGGTTTTTAAGGTACAGAATGTTGTTTGTCTATTCAGCAACAAATATAAACCATAAGTAACATACCTTTTAATTGTGCACATGTTGACCAATTAGAAGTTTGGAATAATGGGTCCCATGTGCTTTTTTGAAATCCAAATGATTTCAAATGAACCCATGCTGCATTTCCTGATCTGTACACACACACACACACACACCTCTGTCCTACCTGAAGGCCTGAATGATTACAGTCCCAAACAGGATGAAAAGAGCTGAGAAGATCAGAGACAGTATGGGCATCATCTCACGCCTGGGGGGGGGAAGCAGAACATGACAAGTTTCTCATTTATAAAAAAAATGTAGAGCTGCTAATTGGTAAATTCAATAAAAAAAGAATGCTGAAAATAGTCATCAACTAATATCATTATCATTTAGTCTGTTATTATTTGTTGTCATTAGCATTTAAAAACATTTTTGCACATAATGTACAGCTTTTACACTGTTTTCAGTCTATCTTATCGTCTTTATAGTCTATTGCAGATATTTTAACATTATACTATGGAGCTGTTGAATGCTTGAATCTGATTGGCTGACGAACGTTCTAAGATGTGCAATTATTTTCAGGGAAACGCGGCTAAAGTAGTTCCAGGCAGGTCTTGACCGCATGTCCATATCACTTCGCCAAATGATTTCAGACATTTCAAAAGTCCTTACAGCTTAAAACAGGGACACTGTCCAAGCAAACAAATATAGTAAACAATTGGATTAAAACAACAAATTATTTCCATGTTTTCTCCACAAAATTACGTTTTATTATGTACGGAAAGCACATACTTTCTTTCTCCCACTCAAACGCACACACATCATTAGAGTAAAGACACACGTGCACAGAAACGTGTTGTTAGCGCTACTCTGACAATTTTATCAGTAAACTACATGACATTTCTCACTACAACATCTGAACAATGTCTTCAGGTGTGGTTACTGTAGTATAAGTGGAATTATACACTCCGGTCCGTTGAATTACTAGAAAATAATGCAAACCCGAGGAGTAATGGCCACTGGAGAGGAATTGCGAATGGTAGTGAAGCAACACAAATCACACTATAGGCCAGGTGGCAGTAACAAAATGACGGATGTAGTACATCTAGGGATGTAACGGTATGAAAATTTCTTATCACGATTATAGTGGTACGTCCGAATTTCATTCATACTGAATGTCCTGAAAGTCAAGTGATGCTTATGTTGCTTTAATTTCTGATTGATCACAACAGACCACAGATGTCCTGTTTCCAGCTGGCTACAGTCAGGTAAACAACACGTAGCAATGTTCATTTCTCAAATCTGTGGAAAAACGTGGCTGGTTTGCAACAGGATCCAGTTCTCCTGGTCGAGCACTGGCCAAGATTGTGCTCTGGCTCCAGAACGCAAACCATTGAAACTGCATGCAGACAGGACCATGAATACTTTTTGATTGCACTCACCAATTAGAGTAGAGAAGATCAAAGTAAAACTGAGCGAGGTAATCATATGCAGTGTTGATCCACTGAATCAGAAACATCTGTAATTAAAAAAAAATAATTATTACTGTTAATTATCTCTCTCATTGCCACTTCTAAAGATTAGAAATGTATTAAAATCACAAAGTCCTAAAGACAATCATAGCCCTTCATTTCCCTCCACATGACTTACAGATGCAAACTCATTGTTGAGTTCAGGCAGCATGGCATCGTGGGTAAGGTAGGAGGGGTCTCTTTGCAGAAGCTCAAGCTGCTCAAGGAGGCGGTGCTTATCATCATCACTCCCATTCCATCCCCCCGTCACTGTCCGATACAACACCCTTCCTGTAGCGCTGCGTCTCTCCAGGAGAATCACCTGAAGTTATTTGCACACAAGGTATAAATTCATATGGCATCAAACAAGGTAACTAAATGTGTGTGTGTGTGATAGCACATGAATGTCTCTGACCTGTGGAGGGGTTGTGTCTTCCTTTTTGAGCAGAGTGTCACAGAGAGGCTGCTGTTGTCTCTGATAAACATAAGCAAACCTGAGAACTTCTTTAGTGTTGGAGGAAGCGAAGTCAAAGAACGCCTCATTCACTGACACAAACTGCTCCCCTTCACCGGTAACGAGAAGAACACAGTACCTGTCAATCAGAAAGACAGTGAGATGATGAAGTTTGCTCAGAGACGCAAGTCCACCAACATCTAATGCTACAGTTAGAGGTGAGATTTCGTACTTCCTGCGACGGTGGAACTGTTTAACTGGACAGAGCTCATCGAAGAGCTTCTGATTTACCAGCCGCGGCACCAGCAGAAAACGATTATTGGACACAAACTCGTCAATTATCTGTTTTTTCATTCCTCTTGCCTAGGGAAGAAAACAAAACAGGATTAGGGTTGTGACGGTGAGGAAATTTTTACAGTGGTTAATTAACGTGTGACAACACTGGTAATACCGGTATCACCGAGGGGTGGGGTTCGTTGGGGTTTTCCCTCTTTCCTTCGCTTTTAAATAGCTTGTAAATGCCCGTGCGCATTTTACTTTCACTTTCGAATTAGCCACAATTCAGCGTCAATTGCTTGAATGGACAACAACAAAACGGTACAACGACAAACTCACTTTTATTAAACATAGAACTTTAGTTAACAAACCGAATAAAAATACACCATGCTATTGGGCTAATATAAAATAAATAACTTACACAAAGTTAAAATATACAAAAAAAAAAAAAAGAAGAAAATCAGCAAACACTGTGGAACCAAATAAATAAGAAATATAGAACGTTTATAAGCAAAACTAATAAGAAAGCTTAAAGGCACGGCATACACCTTGATGTAAAATAAAACAAAAATAAACTACACAAAGTTTAAATAAAGTAAAAATCAGCAAACACTGTGGAACCAAATAAATAAGAAACGAATGTTAAAAAATAAAAACAACTTACAAAATCACCTTAGATAAACGGCAAACGCCAACAGGCTTTTCAAAATCCAAAATACTGCCAAACAGCTAGGCGCTTTTGCATTTCGCTTCGAAACTAAATCTTTCGCCATAATCTTGTCTGTCTCACCTCGACTCACTCTCCTCACGTGACAAATGAAATCTGACTCCTGCTGCTGATCTGAGATGCGACTGTCGTTCGGCATGCTGCATTGTTTAGTTTTTAAGAACTAAATGATTTTTATTACTATAAAAAAAATCAAAAAGACGGTGGGGGGCATCTATCTATCGCAGCAAGCCTAAACAGGATTCGTCTAGCAAAAACAAAATAGCCGGTGTATAGTTTTTGAGAAAAACTGCAATTGGATGTTAGCTAATGGGGAGCTGGGCCTCACCTGTATAACATCAGCCGGTTTGTCTGTGTTCTCTTTGAAGAGGAGCATGGTGGGAGCGTATGTGTTGATGTTGAACCTCTGCACGACTTTGGAGGTCTCAGTCAGGCCCATGTCCACATAGCCAAACCTCACATAGTCTTTATAGGCAAACGCGGTAAGCTGCGAACAAGAGAATATAACAACGTCACAGATCACAGATCTTAATAACTGTTTGAACAGTTAATATAATAAACACTCACCTTATACAAAAGAGGAATATTAGATGCTACATCAAACATTAGCACTCTTGGCTTATTCTCTTCATGCCAACTGTTTAAAAACTCAAAGTAGCTGTTATCCGTCACCTAAAAGAAAAAAAAACAGAAAAAGAATGGGGAAAGGGGAGCGAGAAAAGGGAATGGAAAGGGGAAAACCAAAAAGGTGCATAAATGTAAAATGAAAGGAAAAGGGAAAATAGTAAGGGACAGGGAGAAGGAAAGAAGAGAAGAAGAAAAGGTAGAAGATAGAAGGAAAAGGGGAAGTGGAGAGGACAAGTGGAGAACGTAAAAAGGAAAGAGAATGGAAAGGGAACAGGAAAAGAATCGGGAAAGACAGTTAAAATGAAACGGAAACGAGTAAGGAAACGGGAGAGAGAGTGAAAATGAAAGGGACAAAGGGAAGGGAGGAAAAGAAGAGAAAGGGGACAAAAAGAAGGTGGAGGAAGGGAGGAAAAGGAAAAGGGGAAGGAAAGAGGAAAAGAAGAGAGGGAAAGGAAATGGAAAAGAAAAGTGAAAAGCAATGGAAAGGGATAAGGAAAAAAAGTGAAAAAAAAAAGCAAATAAAACTTCAATTATTACCTCTTTTAGTTGCATTATTATGAATGTTTAATTGAAAGTCACATTTGCAGCAACAAGAGCCAATGCTTGAATTAAGTTGAATCTTACAACCTGAATAATTAAGAATGCACCTCAAATGGCTGGCACAGTATTTCCATCCTGGAGAACAACATTCAATCCTACCTTCTCAACCAGCTTCTGGGGCAGAAGGCTTTCCACAAACTGTCTCAAGTGTTCCCTGACCACAGCGTAGTGGAAGAAAGTGACTTTGCCATTAATTAAACCAAGTATGGAAGGTGTGCGGTGGGCACCAAGATGATTAGCCAGCTGTCTCTCATATCCAATGTCCACCACACCAATACCAACCCCTAAAAACCAAACCAATATGATATATTCGGAGTATTTGATATCCTTTAATTAAAAATATTGCCATCTTCTATGGACTATAAGACTCTTTTACCCAATATTTGTGTGCTGTGACTAGAGCTGGGCGATATAGCTAAAAAAATTATCAACGATATAATGTTTCATATCGTTCGGTATCGATAATTATTTACATTTTTTATAACCTTTTTTTAAAACAAAGAGCAATAGAATTTTTTTTTTAAATTTAACCACTGTATTTTTAAATTAACCCAATTTATTGAGACAGATTTTTTGTTTTAACAGTCAAATACACAATAAAAATTAAACAAATATCTAATTTCTAATATTTTATATGCAGATTAAATAGCTTAAACTTTTGGCTTGTCTCCCGAGGCCACAGGAGGGCGCAATAAGCAAAATAATGCAGCACATAATGTCAACGCATGGAAATAACTGTCTATAAAAACACGTGCATTCCGTCTAAATTAACTCATATAAATGAAAAATAATTTCGTAAATTGCATAAACAATTATGAACAAAACAGTATCATGTATTTATGCATTGCTTAATACAAAGAGCCGAATCGCCCATCACGCAGATTGAATTTAAAAACATAAAGAGACGCAGTGAAAAGGAATAAACCT